TAATTTAAAACCAAACTTAAAGATCTGAAATTCACTCTCTGAACATACAGCGCTGTAATTAATCAGCTAACAGCTCTCCGATGGACCAGCACATGATGTCACCACTTGGTGATAATTAGAAGCTGCCATACATTAGAAATAACTTCACACGACTGGTTTAAGCAAGTAAAATTTGTGGCTCCATGTCTATAGTGATAATTTTATTGGGCACAGGATTTTTTTATTTTTTTTTTCCCCTGAACGAACATCCATTTGCTTGTGCTACTGAGGGTTACACAGCTATGTTAGGAATTATTTTTTAACCCTCTTTATGAAAACATCACTCTTTGCCCCTTAAATTTATATCTGTTTTAAAGAAACCCATTCTCCCCAAATTACCTTTCATTATCAAAGAATTTCCTGTCTAAGGAGAGCATATATATTTGCCAACTTCTGGGATTATTTAGCCGTAATGTACTGTGTACTGTCAGCACTCATTAATGTGACAGTAGCAGTAAAGCAAGCTGAAAATGACTAAATTACAGTAGACTCCAATCAACTCACATGTAAATTACCCACCCTGCAGTTAACTACTGAGTTATTTAACCTCGTTGCATACGACAGTTCAGTAAAGATTAGCTTGTGTTCTCGAAAATGATACAATGTTCAAACCCTGGTTATTTAAAAATAAATCAGTTGTGATATATGAAGTACAAGAAAAAGCTCCAGGCTGCACAGAAAAACCTCCTGGCACTGGATCAGCTTCAGGGCTGGTTTGACTCAGAGCTCTGCACGAAGCACGGGCAGAGAAGCAAAGGTCAGGTCCTTGTTTTGCAGTAGGACAAGAGGAAACGGCCTCAAGCTGCGCCAGGGGAGGTTTAGATTGGGCATTAGGAAAAATGTCTTCACCAAAAGGATTGTCGAGCTTTGGAACAGGCTGCCCAGGGAAGTGGTTGTGTCCCCATCCCTGGAGGGATTTAAAAGCCGGGCAGATGCAGTGCTTAGGGACATGGTGTAGTGGTGGACTTGGCAGCGCGGGGGTAAGGGTTGGACTCAACGACCTTAAAGGTCTTTCCCAACCTAAACGATTCTGTGATGACTCTCTGTCTCTGGTGCAATGCCCATTCTGGCTGCTTGGCAAACCCCCTCCTCCTTCCCTACCCACCTCGCCTGCCACCCGGACGGCAGCCTGCAAGCGCAGCTGCAGGTGCGGGAGCACGGGCAGCAGCTCCCTACGGCCGCGGTAGGAAGGGGACGAGGGGGAAGCGGCATGTGCCCTGCCTTTGGCTCTCCTGGAGAGGCTGCCAACAGCATGGCGTAGTACGGCCACAGAAGCCTCCCCGTGGTAAGGTTCCACAGCCTTTCTGATTGCCGGAAAGACTGCATCATTTCTTTTTCTGAATCGGTGCAGAAATGCAGTGGTGTAGCTGACATCTCCCTGCACCCTCATCCTCACCCACGTGTATGCGCAGCAGCCTGCAGTGGAAAACTTGTGGGGGAACAACCTGGATGGGCCGAGGGAGCATTCCCTGCCCTGACAGCAGCTCAGCCCTTGCCCTGTCCTCCTGCCTGCAGCCTTAGTGGCCCTGGCACTGGGCAGAGCACAGCCTCAGGGCACAGACCTCCCCGTCCTTCCCCGTGTACCAGAATAGCAAAGAGCCAGGGCAGCGCTTTATCTCACTTAATCTGCTTGAATGTCTTGGGCCAAGTTCATTGCAGTTGAACACCCTGGTGCAGGAGAGGAGAGTTTCAGCTTTTAAAATATTCTGAAAGGGTTTTTTTGCTTATCAGTTTACAAAACCGTTTGGTTTTTTTTTTGTCTTCTGCAGCACCATGTGCATCCTTGCCCGGCCTGTGGGATTATATACAGAGCTGACGAACACCACCCACCCATACTACCCGTCAGAGCTCAGCTGCCGATGCAGCTCAGCGGCAGCTGGGTGAGCACCCACTGCGAGGTCCGACCTGCGGTGCTTTTCCTTACCAGGTACTTCATATTCCACGGTAACAACCACACCTGGGAGGGTTATTACTATCACTACTCCGACCCGCTCTGCAAACAGCCGACTTTCACCATCTACGCATCTGGGCATTACACCCAAGGCATCCCCTCCTCCAAAGTGAGAGGTGGGACAGAGCTGGCCTTTAAAGTCACGCAGGCTCGGGTGACGCCAATGGACCAGGTGACGGTGATGATGCTGAACTCCTCAGAACCTGGAAGCTGTGGGCTGACAAGCTCCTGGAGTGCTGGGGTGGAGCAGGATATAACACCCACAAACGGATGTCTGGCTTTGGGCATCAAGCTGCCCCACACGGAGTACGAACTTTTCAAAACGGAGCAAGACATGAAAGACCGCAGCCTGCTGTACATTGGTGAAAGGCCCACGGATGGATCCAGTCCCGACAGCCCAGACAAGCGACCCACGTCCTATCAGGCACCTCTGGTTCAGTGTGCTGGAGCGCCAGAGGAGTTCTCTAACTATTTTAGTCTAAAATACTTGGGAAAAAAGGATGCTAATGGGAATGAAGCACTAAAACCTTTGCCTGTGGCCTTTTTATTGTTTATAGCACTTCTGTTTTTAAGATGGGACTAGTTATCTATTCAGGTACAGCACAGAATTCAAATAGTCTTGGTGCTAGCGTGACTTTTATAGCCTTCAAATGAGGACATCTGGAGCCAGTTTTACTCCGATTTGGAAACACTTTTTAAAAAACCCCAACAACAGTGAATGAAGCCAAGAAGATACGTCTGGCTACATAGCGTTTGTCCTGTGGTGTTATTGCCTAATCTCCCCTCTTCTTTGCGTACAAATCTAATGTAGTGACATGGATGCGCTGCACATTGCAATAGAAAATTTAGCAATATGAGTGGGGAAAAAAGCGACATCAATTACAATTGCTGCTTTGAGCTTTTGACATTGCTAAGATTTAATCAAGAGCTTGATTCAGATGTAATTCAAACATCCAAAGTGTCGGCTGCTGATTTCTTTGAGGTTAAGTTCCCTCCCATCATACTACTTATTGCTGTTCTTGCAAATTTAATCTGCAGAGTCAGGCAGCAATAGATAAACAGCAAGTGCTCTCAAGAAGGGCACGGTTAATCATGCCTTCCTCAGTTTACAGACATTTTCTGCAGTTTCTGTGTGGATGTACATGCACAAAGAAGCAGCGTACAATCTTCCACTTACGTATGTACAAAAAGCAGCCCTCACAGAGCATCACCTTGCCAGACTGTTACGGAAAAGGATTTGTTACAGAAAAGGATATGTTACGGAAAAGGCTTCTGTGCACAACCGCTCCAACCTTCAGCCTTACCTGGCAGCAGACGCTGCATCCTTGCTGCATTATTGTGGCTTTTCCAGTGCAGTACTGGCCTGTGCTCGGGTACACCAGCAACGGCCCCGTGTTGCTGCCCGCCTCATCCAGCAAGCAACGGTGCTGCCAGGGGATTGGGACTCCTGCTCACCATGCACCGAGCGAAGCAGAAGATCGCTTACAAGTCTTCTCAGGCCATATATTTTCACCGTCTCCTCTTTGGTAAGCGCACTGGCGTAGCAGCTGTTAATCCAGCTCTCCTTTCGATCAAAATGTCGCTTCCGGCCTCATTCCTGTAAAGATGTTTTCTAAATCTGCCTCTAGCGAACAACGGGCTGAGGAGATACTCGAATCAGACAGCACAGTCAGGTCAGACTGATTTCTACTGACAAGAAGGACAAACTAAGAAACTATATTCCCTGTCTGCTGCAGCTAAGCATGTAACTCACTCGGAGAAGACCTCCCAGTAGCTAAATCCTCTCCAAATAAGCCTATGTATCTTACTCACAAAGGATATTTTGCTAAACCAGCTATGCAATAGCTACCTTCTTAAACCTGTATTTACGAACTCGCAGCTTGTACTTAGATAAATTATGGGGTTTATAACAGAAAAATACTTTGGGGGGAATCTGTACATTAACTAATAATTCAAATGAGATGCTTATTAAATGCATACAGTTGTGACATAAATGTTGTCATCATGTTCACGTGTTCCAGGCATGATCAAATATTAATCATGCACATAAACAGTTGTACTTCAAAGATGATGCAGGAACAGGCCAAGCCGGGCTGCCTTGCCTTCAGTTCCCTCTG